GAATATTGAATAAGAAACAATGTGGGTCTTGGTCCTATACTTGAATTGATTAGATGATAATTTATGTAGTTTATATTTTAAATGTAAGTGGCAACAACCATGGTCATTAGTCTTTGTAAAAAGATGCATCATCAGTCACTGCAAAATAGAGACTTTGATCTAAAACGGTTGCTTTAATTAATGCATTTAAATTATAACCATGATTGATGCTGGTGAACTTGACTTGAGTCAATTAATCTATAAATAACTGCTACTGAATTTAATTTGACCATTTCAAGTTTCAGTTGAATTAGAGCAGGGGTGCCGAACCCTGTTTCTGATGATCTACCTTCCTGCAGAGCTCAGTTCCAGCCCTGATCAAACACACCTGTCTGTAATTATCAAGTGCTCCTTCAGATCCTAATTAGTTGGTTCAGCTGTGTTTGATCAGGGTTGAAGTTGAACTCTGCAAGAAGGTAGATCTCCAGGAACAGGGTTGGGCACCCCTGAACTAGAGCCTTACAGTCTTAGGAATTATTTACTTTAATTGAGAAAGTTTATTTGTAAAATCTCTTTTCTATCAACCATTTCATCAGTCTAAAACCAAAGACCAAAAATACTTTTGCATTTAAATATTCAGGCCCAGTTTCGGAATCAAATCACTGTGGGTGCTTCTGAAATTAGTGAGGGTGCTCTAGCCTTAATGCACATCTATTTTGACATGATATTTTGTCTTATCCATTGTTATTGTTATTTCAAGAGTGTATCCTGCAATTATACGTCTATGTAGCCATACAATGTCTGATGATCTGCCCCAAACTTCACACGTTCGATAAAAGTCCTGGCCTGAAGATATCTAAATGCCAATATTCTGTTATAATCATAGCGCCACCTGCTGGCAACAGGAAATGACTTGTTTTACACTAATCTGCTATGCAATAACCAATCTTCACTAGACATCACATGTTTGGTAAGAGTCCTGGCCTGAAGACATCTAAAGGTCAATGTACAGTTATAATCATAGTGCCACTTGTTGGCAAGAGGATATGTCATGTTTTACATTTTACATTTTACAATCTGCACCAAACTTCATATGTTTGATCAAAGTCCTGGCTTAAAGATTGCCACATGCCAATATTCAGTTATAAGTAATAGCACCACCAGCTGGCAGCAGGAAGTTTGGCACATACAAATGACTTTGACATATTCCTCCTATATTTACCACTTTAAATGCATATTGCTCACCATTCGCTGTTTTTCTAAAGCCACCGGGTGGCAGTGAGCCCGGGTGCGAGGGCCCTTTCATCGCTGCTTGCAGCTTTAATTTAAATTGTGTCTACACTTTGTTTGTTATAATGAGAGGATTCACAAACTTACTTGACTTAGCACTGAACAAAACATTTGGCTTCATTGCTCAACATTTTGTAAATCGAAACCGTTGAAGCTCTCTTTAGTGAAAACATAAATATGCACTGTCATTTGCAAATATCCTATTTTTACAGCTTCAATAGAGGGTACTCTTTTTTTCATTTGTTTTCTTTGTTTTCATTCACCCTCTAGCACCCCTTTAGACCCCCTGAACCCTGCCTATAAACATTTAAAAAAGCAGTATGTAACATTGACAGCTAGTGGTTGAAATGGGAACTGCAGTCCAAATTCAAAGTTGTTTCTAACATGGTCCCCTCCTCAAACTCAACGATCGTGCAGGTTGCCAGATTAAAGACGACAGGAATGATTGTAAGCTTTTTACATTGGGTAGAATATGCAATCTCTGACCCAGTTTGTTTTCTGGCTTCCATCACTGCAAAATGCTGTGTTTTCCACCAACTGACAACCCGTTGTCGAAATACTATTGAGTAAATTTGGCGGAATCGCATAGACCAAAACAAAAGCAGACATTCCCACAGAGAACACACATTTTAAAGTAGAATAACTGGCTGTCTCATTGTTTTTTGAAAAACATGTATATGAGCATGTTTACTAAATATAACTACTGTAAATGTAGTTTCATTAGGTATTTTATTATGAGATACTTCAACTTTTTTGACACAGAAAATTTTGACACAGGACCTATACTTTAAATTGAAAATAATTTTCAACACTTTTTACACTCCTCTCTGTAATACACAAAAACTGAAAAGCATTAATTTGGCCATTAATTTACTATAAACCCCAAACACCCTTTGCCTGATTCTCTCACCATCCGTCTCTGTCCAACTCTGCTCATGTTGCCCAATGTACACAAGTTCTATTCATTAAAGCTTCAGAAAGTCAATTATGGTAATGGTCTCTTTTGCCATGGGAAGTGTCAGGGAGCTCAGCAGACTCACAGATGAGCATTTTAATTCCCTTCACAGATTTAATTCAGATCTCATTTAGATGAAAATTTCCTCTCAAATATTTGAGTCTCTCTTTATCTTCTAGCCTTACTGGATTTGAATATGAGAAGTGTTTGTGTTGCATTCTTTACAATAAATGAAATTAAAATTATATATTTAAAATCTGACTCTAGCTTTATGTTTAACCGTCATTTTGGTTGGAATGTGTAGTTTATTGCCCATTTACTACACGCTCTTTTACTCTTTTACTTTTTTACTTTTTTTTCTATATTGAAAAGGAATGGGGATAATAAAAGTGGACAGTTACAAAAAACAGTTTTAATGAATCATTTATATACTTTGTCATAAAGCACATAGTTGTCAGAGAGATACACTACCGCTCAAAAGTTTGGGATCAGTAAGACTTGTAATGTGTTTTAAAGAAGTCTCTTATGCTCATCAAGGCTGCATTTATTTGATCAAAAATACAGAAAAAAACTGTAATCTTGCAAAATGTTATTACAATATAAAATAATGGTTTCTAATGGTACGAATTTATTTCTGTGATGGAAGGCTGAATTTCCATCAGCCATTACTCCGGTCTAAAGTGTCACATGATCCTTCAGAAATCATTCTAATATGCCGATTTATTATTAGAATTATCAATGTTGGCAACAGTTGTGCTGCCAAATTTTTTTTTTTTTTGGAAATTTTTTACGGTCAGGATTCTTTGATTAATTGAACAAATCAGAGTGGAGTTTAACATTTTCTCTGAAGATTTCTTCAAATACCTTCAAATCCGGCACTTCATAGAGTCTCTTTTAAGGCAGAACAAATTTCGTTTAAATTTATCAGAACTGGAAGAAACCATAATTTCAGTTAAATCTTTTAAAGGGATTATCTCCAAATTTTATGCTTTGTTGATGTATTCTGACTCTTCAGTTTATGATTCTTTGAAACCACTGTGGGAACGGGACCTAGGAGTATCATTTAATTCTGCAGATTGGACCAAGATTTGTAACAGCGTTTTTCCAAAATGTACTTCAATTTCTTTACATGAACAAAATTTCTAATTTTTTCATAGAATTTATTTTACACCTGTTCGTCTCCACAAAATGTTCCCAGGTTGTTCAAATCTTTGTTTTAAATGCAAGACATATAAGGGCACATTTTTTCACGTATTCTGGTCCTGTGATCACATTCAACCATTCTGGAAAGGGGTTCATTCTGTAACCCAGGAGATAACAGGGAAAAGTTTTATTTCATCTCCTTCACTTTATTTGTTGAATGACACTCCTAAAGATATTTTTGACTCTGACTCTAAGCCTTTGTTTAGAATACTCTCATTTTTGGCTAAAAAATGTATTCTACTGAAGTGGTCTACGCCTCAGGTTCCAACTGTTACTATGTGGATATCCCAGCTGTCTGCCTTTCTTCCTCTGGAGAAATTAACTTATGATCTCAATCACAGGTCGGACAAATTCTGGAGACTTTGGGAACCCCTCCACTCTTTTTTACAAAAACTCTGAACTTTTATTTTAAGAGAGCTTTGGCTCTTCCTTTCCTGACATGTTTTTGTTTGAATTAAGCAGGTAGAGATTAATATTTTCAGGGATGTGCTATTTAATTCTCAGCGCTTGGGGGTTTTGTTTGTTTGTTTGTCTGATTGTTTTGATTGTTAGTGTTAAAAAAAAAGAACAGCATTTATTCAAAATATAAATATTTTCTAACAATATAAATCTTTGCTATCACTTCTTATCAATTTAACACATCCTTGCTGAAAAAAAGTTTTAATTTCTTTCAAAAAAAGAAAGAATAAAAATGTACTGACCCCAAACTTTTGAACGGCAGTGTATATTGTTAAAAAAGTTTCTATTTTATTCTACTTCTTTTTAACTTTTTATTCATCAAAGAATCCTGAAAAAAGTATCACAGGTTCCAAAAAATATTAAGCAGCAGCACAACTGTTGCCAACATTGAGATGAGCATAAGAGACTTCTTTAAAAAACATTACAAGTCTTACTGGTCCCAAACTTTTGAGCGGTAGTGTACCTTTACAGTGTTCTACTGTAGATAGAGTAAAGACAGCACAACAGTTGTTACAGAACAATGACTCCACAATGAAACAATATTAAAAGAGAATACATTTTTAAGTTTAATTGCAATCGGTCATTGATATTAAATAGTTATAATAGAGCAGTGACAGCACAATCATTAAACAGAGCAATGACTGCAATAAAGCAGTGTCAGCCTAGTGGTTGTCACTGAGCAATGACTACACACCAATTATAAAGTATTTTTACTCTCTGTAATAGAGCAGAGAAAAGACATTAGTTCTATTTTGGCAATGCATACACAATTGTTTTTAAAGCAGTGCTGTAATACAAATGAAATGCAGTAGTTGCTTTTTATTATTTATATTAAAGCAGTGACACTGGTTAGGTTTGAACTGTGTAACCCAGATTGATGGAATTTTTATATGCAATGCAAATCTTAAATTAAGGCCTTACTATTGTTTGAGTGTGTCATCCTTGCATTGTTCACTTGTTGTTGAACCATATAATGTTAAATTGTAGTTATAATTAGAAAATATAAAAAAGCTAGTATAAAAAGGCCTTACATCTAGTATTTCTTTGTGTCTATTTGCATAGTAGAGCTAATATGTATGTAATTTAACATCCACCCACTGTCTTTTGTGTGTAGGCTATTGAGGACACAGTCCCTAGAATGGTACTACAATAATGTGAAGAGTCGGTTTAAGAGATTTGGCAGCGCCAAGGTGCTGAAGACCCTCTACAGGAAACACATCATTGAAAGAGGAGCATTATCTGAGTTACCAGGTATGAAATACACACATACAAACTCTACATCCTGCAGTGTGTGTATAAGTTATGCTACTCACTTTATCTTAGTAACCCCACTATTATCAGACACTTTGGCCAGCAGATTAAATGATTAATGGCATTTTTACAATGACACTAGTAGCTGAAAACCTTGACTTTCAGGTAATGCTACATCCACACTACTAGGTGTCAGTATAAGTCCAGAAATACATTTTGATTACAAGACAATAAGGCAATAAAATAATATTTAATTTTTATATTATGAGTGAGGGAACAGGAAATTAAACTAAGACAGAAAAGGATGAAAAGGATTGGGACACACATTGTAGGTTTGATTTGAACCTAAGTCTTCTATATGCAAGTATCACAACTCAACATTTTTCAATAGTTAAACCATCAAAGACAAACGGTTGACTCTTTTATGCAAGCCAGACTAATTGAAAAAAAAAAAAAGTGTCAGAGGCAACATTTTCACAAAATGATATTAGGGTGCTTCTTGCATGTTTTGCAACACTTTGAGTGCCGTTAAAAGTGTGTTCAGTTTTCATTAAAAAAAAAGGAGGAATGTGAATATGTCAACATTTTATTACACAGTTTTTTGCACCTATCTTTGCAGTTCAGAAATGATATGTCCAGTGAGTGGTGCTAAAATAATCCAGTGGTGTAAAGCATTTGAGTAAATTTACTGTACTTAAGTATCTTTTTGGTTACGTTGTATCAAAGATTTTAGCATCTTCTACTCTCTCTTTGACATAAATATGTACACTTTACTCCACTACATTTGTAACAAGTAATTCAGTTACTCGTTGCATTTTGCATGGCACCTTACTTTTTTTGCAGCAGTTTATTTTTGTTACAAAAGAAGTGATATAGCCATGTACAGTGTATTAAAAGTAAAAGATCTGCAATGAGGCTACTTTATGTGAGTGCATTAGAATGTGAGTGCATTAGCAGCTAGTTCCTGAATCACAAGCGTTTCATTTGAGATGAGCACATGGCTACAGCCAGTGATGAGGTCAAAATGAGTACATCCTGTGCAAGTAGGCTTTAGCTCAGTTCGGACAGTAATTGTTTCTCATGTGGACATCTGTAGAAATAAATTTACATGGCAGCTCATTGATAAAACTCATGCATTCAGATGGCAATTTATTCATGGTAGAGGAGAGTTCTGTGTTCCTACACACTGCTCACATGGACAGTTGCATAATCATCTGCTGTAAATAAAACATTGTTTGCTTGGAAATAATAAGAAAAATTTTTTAATTTAAAATTGTATCGTTTATTACTTGATTATTTAAATCTCCTGTTAAAAAATAAGAAAATAGACGTGCTGTAGTTGAAACGTGGATGTGATATGTGGATTTGGTTGGCAATTAAATTACCACACAACCTTTTACTTAATATTATTTTAGTTATCTTGAAGAGTCATTATTTTGAAGGATTTTGGTTTAAGTTTTAAACCCCTTTTGTGCATGCAGCTTAACTGAGATTTGGGCGTTTTTAGATGTTTAAGAGGCAGTTGTGTTGACCTTGATTTGTTGCAATATTGAGTGTTCAGTTTTATTTTTATTTTAATACATGCTCTTAATCAGCATGGAAAAAAAATCAGCTGTTTATTGTTTTTCTCTTTTCTCGGACTAGTGCATCTTTGAGTCTACATTCACAATGAGTAAAATACTTAAGTAGCCTACTATTAAAATAAGACACTAAGACTTTTACTCAAGTGTTATTGGTGACTTGTAACTTGTAATGGCACTATTTTCACTTTTACTTTTTAAATAATGTTTAAATAAGATTTTGTCATGCTGTAAATAAGTACACTTAATTTCATGTGTTGACTAATAACTGTGTGCTAAAGAGTACTAATTTTTCACAAGGGTAATAGAGGTACTCTGGTATATATTATTAGTAGGAAAAAGGGGGTTCGGTGCCTTGCTCAAGGGTCTCACCTCAGTCGTGGTATTGAGGGCGGAATAGAGCGCTGGTCATTCACTCCCTCCACCTAAAATCCCTGCTGGTACCGAGTCGCGAACCCCCGACAAGTCAGACTCTCTAACAATTTGGACATGACTGCCCCCATTATAAGTATTAGCAGTATTATGCTATAGTGCTAAAATTGCTATGCGTCTCCTAGGGTATTTAATGCCATGATTACAAGGGGGCTGCTAGGGTGCTTAGGCTAGTTGCTTATCAGCCTTAATCAAAATAGCCCACTTTGGTTCCTCCTTTTTTTCTTTGCTGTTGTATTGCCTGCTTAGAAACATAATAGCACATCATTCAAGTCTGTATGAGTGAGACAAATTACATGCTGATGTTCAATACTTTAGAACAAACCCCCTGTGGGCAATAATAATTGTGATGCTTACCTCAGCAAGAGCCATTAATTACAGATACATGATTAATGGCAAGGCTGTTTTAATTATAAAGAGTCAGATTAAAAATATATAATCATTGACAATAAAATAGATAATCTCATCTGCTCTGAATGAACTAGATTATTAAAAGGATTTGCCACTTTTGCTAGTCATGTAAACATTTTTATAAATACCACATATTGGGTCAGGTTAGGCAAATTAGACGATTTAAAAACAGGACAATTATAAAGAGCAGTGCAAATTAGCGATTATTGCAGCCATGTCATTCCATTTTCATACCCTCCTATAAATTGTGTATCTGAAAGGGAAACACCTACAAATGCATATGCAATAAGGTCAGCTGTAAAAAAAATAACTGTAATGTATGTAAAATGTTTACTGTTTTCTATTTTAATAGGTTATTAATTCATGGCAGTATGTCTTTTATTGCTTATAAAAAAATCACTGTAGTGCATTAACTTTTAACTAATCACAATGAAACAAAAATCTTGTCTTAATATCTTTTGTTATTTCTAAATAATTCTTAATAAATCAAGTTCAAACATTTTGGTAAAGAAAGATTTTTAAAGAGTCTCTTTAATAGATAAAAACACAGTAAAAATAGCAAATTGTGAAATAGTATTAGTAATTTTCAAATAAGTGTTTTGTAATGTAATTTATTTTCCTGGCAAAGCTGAATTTTCAGCAGCCATTACTCCAGTCTTCTGTGCAACATGATCCTTCAGAAATCATTCTAATATGCTGATTTTGTGCTCAAGAAACATTTCTTATTATTATCAATATTTTTTTTAAAAACGGTGCTTTTATTTTGGCAGTTTAAATTCATTTCATGTGTTGATAGCATAGTTTGTGATAATTTATTCTTCCATCATGCAACTAAAGGAATTACAGTTTAGTGAGATTGCAGTTTTACTGTAAATGTCAAAAGTGATATATGTTATAATCAAATGTATTAAATATTTCTTCTTTATCTGCTGTATTCTTTCTATTTATCTTTCTATTCTCTTTACTCTCTTTGGGTTCAGTTAAAGTGTGGCGTTATAGAGACACAGCCCATTTAACAGCTGCAGCCATGACCTACAGTGAGATCACATCAATGTTTCTTATTTAATTTGATCTGTGTGTTTTTCAAGGACAGAGAGAAACAGCCTGAACACACACACAAACATACATTAATTCGCTTACAGGCTAACTATAGCTGACCTATACAAGCTGGGACTGTATATACACATAAAAACTCGCTCTCTCACACAAATTAACCTGTACAAGTATGTGAACCCTCACAACACACAAGCACACGCACAAATAAACATGAGCACCCAATCCTCTACATTGCGAGTAAATCACTCGCATATGCGACTAAATGATGTCTAATATTAGCCAATTGCTAATAAATTCTCGAGCCAATGGCGATTCAATTGCCAAGGTGTTCGTAGAGGGCTGGCACCAGAGTGCAAATGAAACTATAAAGCAGTGACAGATCATTTATGAGAAGGAGGCAGTTACTCAGTCGTTACGTCACTGTCCACATACACACACATTCAATGGGCTGGTAGTACGCAGCACGCTCACTGACTCATGTTGGATAATCCGTATTTTTCTCATTTCGAATGAAAGCCTAGCAGCAGTAATCCTATTTCCTCTGATAGCAAGAGATAGAGAGAGATGAAAGGTATATGTGGGTGTAGTCTGATGGTAAGGGGATTATTTGATTTTACACTATGCTACACCATTGCCATTTTTATCAGACAGACTGCTAGTAATACTATAGTGTAGGTCAGTTATTTTAACACTGTCGCAGTCTTCAGCGGGTCTGCCCAGGATGGCCACCAGATGACACTGTTTTCTGTGAGCACATGGCTTGTGTTTTGTTTGTTTGGTGCCATGTGCTCTCTCTCCTGTCTATTGTCTGACCCCGCCCATCTTGTTACCTCATTATTGTTTAAGTTGCTCCACCTGTGTCTCCCTCGTTAGCCTCCTCGTTTGGTTTCCCATTTATTCTCCTGGTGTCTGTAATCCTGTGCTGATCCGTCGTTTTTCATTGTGTGTGCTATGTCTGCATGTAGTGCAGTTCCTAGCCTGCCTGTCTGTTTTTCCCCCTCGGGGTTGTTTTAGTTTCATTTTATTATTAAAAGAAAGAACCATTCATCCTGCACTTGAGTCCTCGCTTCATCTCTCCACACGCACTGTGACAAACACTGCTAGCATAGGGATACTAACATCCCTACTGTAGCATCTCTCCTACTGTAGCATTAGTGTTAGCATAGCACTTACTAATCCTTATATCACTGATTTTGGATGTAACTAAACCCTCAACGTCACATAAAAACAACTCCAAAAAAGTACCTATACATAGTTCACTGCAATATCATGCCGAAAAAAATAAATCATTAGTAAAGAAAAAAAAACATATGGAGGATCAATATTTTTTAATTATGAGGATCAATCTTCTTAATATTGAAAGTGTCAGTATTGTAGGGACGATCCAGTATCTTTTTTTTTTTTTTTACTTGTTTTATGGTGTGCATTACTTGTATAAGAGCGTGTATGTGAAGTGGTGGAGCTGTAGGAAGAGTTTCTGTCTGTCACACTCATTCAGCTGAATGATTCTGAGCAACACAAGCTGTGCCTGTCTCATAGAGATACATGGAGTGATGTGATGAGATGGAATTTAAAAAGAGACCAGAGGAGTGATGCTCTGCATTCATCATTGGAGAGTATAAATTAATCTGTCAGACAGTGTAATCCATATTCAGCACCTCTTGGATATTACAGAATGAACATTGATGTTCTTCACATCATAATAGTTCACAGCTTCATGTGATAAGGTTTCTGAACACTAAGATTCCAAACATTAAGATACTAAAGCAACTGATGTGATCAGGCGGTTATTTTCTTCCACTATGCAAACCTTACAAAACCTTAAAAAAGTAGTGTATAATTGACAGGTGAGTTGTTGTTGTTTTTTTGCTGTTTTCTAAAAAACATCAGGACAGAATAGCATTCACACTCTACATGTGCTTCATGTTCACATTTTATTCATGCTTCCATCACATTTTTTTCTTGCAATTTCAACCTCATCTGTACCAGCTAGATAATGTCACCTTCAGGTCATCAAACTATCATTATTGTTAACCCCTGGTCTGGCAAATATGGAGATGAACCCTTTAGCTGGGTTTGTTGGGAATGCGTATTTGCATTCAATTTGTCTGCCTCTGAAGTGTCTTTGAGGTGTAGGGACTCTAAAAAGTGTTTGTGAGTTCTTATAAATCAGAGAATAATAAAGACTGAAACGACTGTTCTGTGCACTGATACATTGGCAAATGCCTTGAATTGGTTCCACGTGTTTATTTTTATGGTTTATGTGTTTGTGTGTGACTCAGGTCATATATAATGTATTGTGGTCACAGTGTAAAACTGTGCCATTATCAGTTTGTCAGATGCACACTCACTGTTTCTAGATATTCAACTTGTTTCTTTCAGCCAAATGAAGGACTATTCTTAGAACTGATAGTCTGTGTGAGTGACTATGCTGGTCTGTATCAGTTCTTGTGTACACGTAAATGAACTGTCATTTCCTAAATGAACTCATTTGAATTCTTAGTTTCTAAATTGAAAGCTATTTCATAGGCCTGCTGTGTGAGTGAGAGTCCCTAAGCTATGAGCCAGACTCAATTTGATCTGCTTTGCTGTGGATGCCAGGATCTGTTGCATACAGTTATATGAATGTTTTGTACGATTTTTTTTTATACATATGGGTTTTTTTGTTTTACATAAAACCAAAAAATAAAAATAAATGGTATTTTATTTTTTATTTTACAAAGTATTTATTTAAAACTTCAAAACAGCCATTTCTGATCATTTACCATTTCATGTTGTTTTTATTATGGTTATTTTATTTTACACAATGTAAAATAATAATAATAATAATAATATATATAAAAAAACTTTCTAATGGTAATTACTCTCTAGTCATGCAGTAAATATGACCATCTATGCATGAGTTGTAATGTTATCTGTCAATTGCTGTTCTCTGTCTCTGTCTGATACATTACATATGACACCTGTGTTCTGTCTCTGTATTTCATTGGCCTTGCATGGGGCGGTTACAGGCCAGATAGAATATGCAGTGGTCTCTTTCTCTATGCTGTTGTCATGGTGATATTGAGCTAGCACTCTCTCGAGGTCAGCTGAAAAAAGAAAGTGAAAAGGTAACCGTCTGGTCAGGTAGACACAATGATGTGTATGCCTACTTAACGGTATCGTCTCTCACTTTTTTCTCACAGCTAACGTGGCAGTTTTGACCCTCAGCTAATCTGTGCCACATTGTGTTTAGTCACACAGACTAGAGGGTTTCTACATTATTTTATTTTATTAAGTGTACTATATGTTTGCAGTTGAATGAGTCACTGGGTTTGCTTAGCTATAATTTGTGAACAAAACTGTCTTTAGAAGTCAAATTTATCTGACAAAAGTTTCCTTGAGGATTCATATATTAAGTACATTTTATTTTTGTATTTTGTGCTCATTTAGCTTGATTAGCTTGTGTGTGTTTTGAGTATGTTGCTAAATTTTATTCCTGTTTCTATGAAAATTTCTCATCAGTTTTGTCAACCAAAATTATGTTAAGTTTAATTTATAATAAAACATATAACCAGACATGTCCAGACAAGCACAATTTTGTCTGGAATGTTTTGATTCCTTTGATTTATGTATATCTCTTTTGTTTGTTTTTTAGAGGTGAGTGCTCAAGAAGGCAGTAATGATAATGGCAGTGTTTGTGATGGCAGTGACTCCACGCTCTACAGGCAAAGTGAAGGTAACATGAAAAATCAATATACTTCTGCTCTCTACACATGTGTTTTCACATTTCAGACCCATAAAATAACTTTAAATCTGCCAGGTTCTCAAACCCACACCAACATAAAGCTTTCAGTACCTTGATTTAGTCCTCAATCTCTGTATTCCTGGGTTAATATATTCAATTCAATTCAGGTTTATTTGTATAGTGCTTTTCATGATGCAAATTGTTGCAAAGACGCTTTACAGAAAATGTAAGATTCTACATTATATTTAGTAATAGCTTATCAGTGGTGACTATCTCAAGTTGATGTACAGCACTAAGGTCAAGTAAAACTAGCAATGCAATGCAGCCTTGGTCTGACCCAAGAAGCAAGTCATTTTGTAATTTTAACAAGTGCAGTTTCTGTGCTATGATGGGGCCTGAACCCCGACTGAATTTCTTCATAGATATATGGTTTTTTGCAGGAAGAAGCACAATTGAGCAGACAACTTTTTCTAAAATTTTAGACATAAACGGAAGATTTGAAATGGGTCTGTAATTTGACAGTTCACTAGGATCTAGTTGTGGTTTCTTAAAAAGAGGCTTAATAACTGCAAGCTTGAATGGTTTTGGGACGTGACCTAGAGATAA